GGATTCTGGGATTCTGTGATTCTGTGAAATTGCATTTTTATTTTGTTTAAAGGTTGGATACTTGGAATAAATTTCAGATTTACTGAATCTTACTCAATAGTTTAGTGAGAAGTCAGGAGAGAATGTTTTCTTGGTGAGGCTTCTTTGTCCCTATTTGGAAGCGCTCCTGTAAAACCAGGTCTTACTTAATTCTGCTTTTTATTTTTTTTACATTATTTTGCCAACTGCTTTATAAGCAGGAAAAATTCTTAAATGCTTTCTGAAATAATATATAAATTCTGTTATAGAGCTTGGTGCCTACTGGAAAGAAAAGTTCTGAGGACCACTGAGAACTAAGACACTAATATATTACTGACCTGGCTTTGCCATACTCTTCCTTACAGCAACTGGGTCCTTCCTCTTCCATTTCTGAAGCTCCTCCTGCATCTTATCAATTTTGGCTGGATTCAGAGCCCACAAGCAGCCTTTTCGAGAAGAATTGCCTGACTTGTTTTCGACTTTCTCAAAGCATTTGTTCAAAGATAAGTTGTGGCGTACAGAATTCTTCCAGCCATCTGGAGCTGTCTGGAAAAACAAATGCAATCTAAGAATGGAACGTCAAGGGAAAAAAAAAAGGGATAAAAATGTATTTCTCTGTTTTCACTGAAGAGATTATAAGAAATGCTGTTTAGAGTATACTTTCAACAACGTGAAACTTGTACGTTAGAAGGAAGCCACAAAAATGTTACAGTCGTGTTGTGCGGGAAGAGAGGAATCAGATAAAGCAGTAACTGATCTGAGCAAGAGGGTTGGCTTTGTCAGAGCGGCTGCTGGATTTTTAAGGGTGAATTTGCAAATAACAAGAATTAAGTGTGCAAAAGATTATATTCTAAAACAGGAAATACATCTTCTTAATCTGTTTTGGAACACCTAGAAAAATTTCAAACACTTAATTGAAGGACTAAGTGCTACATGGACTCAAATGAAGTGTCCAGGCAGACTTCAAAAGAATTCTAGCAGACTACTGTAGGTGTAACTTCATATGCTAGCCAATTATATAAGCAAATGGTTTAATCACAAGCCCTACAGAGGAGATACAGGTTTCTACATCTGATCACTGCATCTTTTTGCTTTGCATTTATTTTTCACTCGGTAGTCGAAGCTGGGGGGTTCTTTAAACTAAATACATCTAAGCTTCATTAAAATGATTCTTCTCTTTTTATTTAGGCAGTTTCTGATCATTGAGGAAAACAAAATTCCCTTCTTTCCCTGAGGAGAATGGAAAGAAAAGAAAACCTAGTGAGCTTTTTTTTTGTCCTGATTGCTTGTAAAATAACTTTGAAAATGAATATTGCTGTAAGAGATGAAGAGGGAAATACCCAGCAAAACGGTCGTGCTCAGCTTCTCCTGTTTGCTTGCTAGTCTGAAATACTGATCTTGAAGAAATGGCCCTGTATCCTTTTATTGCATACACGTTTGGTGTTTGCTGATTTGATTTCGATAATTTCTGCTTACTTAGTGATGCAGCCAGGAGATACTGCCCATCACATGAAGGCTTTGTAAACTCGTTTGCTTATGCATATCAGAAGATTCCTACAGAAAACTCCTGATGTGCCACTTCCTTGCTTTCATTGGGGTGAGTGCTGTACAACGCCATTTGTTGCGTATCTGAGTAGACCTGTCTTAGCTCATTGCTGCTGCAATATAAAAAAATACTAAAATTGAAATTAAAATTGAAAAATGACTTGCTACATAAAGGTAGGAGTCAACCTGAGAAACCCAACTGCCTTGTAATAGATGCAACTGCTATTCCAGTTAGGCTTCTGTCATTGTGGGACCAGCGAAGAAAATCCAATTGTAGCTTTACCTGTGTTGGTCAATTGATATTCTTTCCAAAAGGTCTGCATTGGCAGAGATGAGAGAAGAAATCTCGAGTGAGACTTCAGCGCTCATCGGATTACAGAGAGCGATCTTCAGTACTAGTGTATGTGAGGCTTTTTTGGATTTTTTTTAAACCAATTTCGGATGCTTTTTCTTTTCTTGTTTCCCAAAAAATCCTCATCTGTGTGTCGTAAGAATGAAGAGAAATTAAACAACTCTCTGAAAGGTGGCTGAAGGTGTCTGTGTGCCCCTATTGATTCCTGTTCATTGATGCGAAGACTTCAGAGCTCATCAGATTACAGAGAGCGATCTTCAGTACTACTGTATGTGAGGCTTTTTTGGATTTTTTTTTAAACCCATTTCGGATGCTTTTTCTTTTCTTGTTTCCCAAAAAATCCTCATCTGTGTGTCGTAAGAATGAAGAGAAATTAAACAACTCTCTGAAAGGTGGCTGAAGGTGTCTGTGTGCCCCTATTGATTCCTGTTCATTGATGCGAAACACGTCATCGTAATTGTTCATATCTCGCCACAGAGAATTATTGAATGGAGACCACAAGAAATAAAGATGTTTTTCCATATTCTTTTTAAAGACGTTAACATTTCCTTTTTATGCACATTAAGTTTTCTTTCCATTCTCACACTTTATTAACAGGGATCCTTCTCTCAAACGAAGCCAGCTTTTTGATAGTTTCTCTGATTGTTGCCTAATGTAACAGATTTCCTCTAAGATCATCTTTTATCAGTGGACTGGTGTCCCTTTTTCCTCTCACATGACTGACCATGACTTTTTAACATACTTTGACAGAATTTCTACTTTTACCAGGAATGTAAAATTAAGTCTTTCTTAGCTGCTTGTGAAGGACTGTCTTGTGGGCTATGGCATTAATAGCCTAACTGAAGAATTTGGGGGTCAAATACAATACTTGCTTTCTTCAGTACAAAAAATAATTAGTTGTGGAAGTTAAATACATGTTCTTTACTAAAAAAGAATTCTTTTCCCTTCATAGCAGTGCAGTTTCTACCCTTTTGGCCCACCTGATGTCAGCATTTCACTGTGCTGTTAGCCAGTCCCATAGGTGAGACAACCTGCATTTCTATTAGGAAAAAAAACCAAAACCAAAACCAACCACCAAACCAAAACCAACCAACAAAAAAACCCTTTAAAACTCTTTCTGCCATAGGGTAATACTGAAGATGAATCACATTTTCTGTGTTGCAAATCATAGTCAAGTTGCTTTCTGGCAGTTCCAAAAGTCAACAAAACTGTTCCTGCTGGGTAAGATGTGTACTGAGCTACTGAATAAGCTGACCTGAAAGAATATTCATGTTTCTTGCCCTGCACATGAGGCTGCATATACCTCTGTGAGTATCTAGACAGGATAATTAGTGTTTCTGCTAAGCACCGGAGAAGATGGGAGTGGCATATATTTCTCAGAGGTTTTCAGAATGTGTGGGGGTGTAAACTATGTGATAGTTTTAGAAACTCTAAGAGCGAAAAGTACACAGATTTATTCTGGAGACTGCTGCCAGGAGTGGAACAGGTTCCTGCATTAAACTTGGTATTGCTGAGCAGCGAAAAATAATCATTTACCCAGCTAGGCCCCGGAGGAACGCTCCGGCAGTGTGTTCATGTTCCAACTCTGTCACCAGCTTTTTAAGTTAACATTTGATTTGCTGTTCATGAACTGAGCTCTGGCTGCTGAAGTTACTCTTGTATAGTTGGAACCTCCTTGCTGTGGCTTGCTTCTGCCATCGCTGCATTTGTGGATGGAGCTGTGTGGGATCTGACACTGCAAGGGAATACTTGCTGCTCCCTCAGACCACAGACCTTCCTAACCTCTTGGACCACTGGAATAACTCCAATTAACAAGATTAAAGCTTTCTGCCAGACTCGCTAATCACTACAAAAAACCAAGCAAAAATATTATGGTACAGACCCATTGATCCTGACCAGCTCTTGAAGTTTAAAGAGTTCAGTGCTCTTGCAAAACCCTTTCTCTTTAAATCTAGGTCTCAAAAGAAGGGAGAGGTACATCAAAGAGTAATTCAACTTTAGCTGCGTAGATGGTTTTTTTAGGACGTAGGAGTTGGATTGCTCTGTTTCAACTAGAAATGAGGCTGTTGCATCATAGAAACTAAATTTGCTGTGGCAGCGAATACAAGTTAATTTGACTAGGCTTGTAACATCTCATGTCTCCCAGCGAGGTTCTGTGTACACTCGTACTCTGTTTCTCTGCAACTTCCATTGCTTCCCCTCCCCCTGTTGTATCCTGCTATTTAGCGAGTTCTGGTAGCAACAACAAAACGTTCTTCGCTGATTTTTATGTGACTTTATCTTGCTGAAGACTCTCAGAAAAAGGATATTAGAGGATATTAACTTTTGCCATTTTGTTATAATTCTGTGGGCTGCTGTAAAGACCAGAGGTAAACAGGACTTAGTGCCTGTAAGCGGAATATTTGCTTGCATATTCTCCCCTGCTTATTTTAAGGATGTTTGGGATGGAACTATTCAATCATTTGACTGTATTTGTAAGTAAAAGGTAAAAAAAAGCCGTCACAAAATAGTGAATATTCCAGCAGTACCCCCTCTGCTGTTCTTTTTCTATGATGTATATGGTGGCAGTAGCCCCATTCTCATCAATTTTTAGATGAATTAAGAGACATCTGCCACACCTCTCCACCCCCCAAAAAACCCCACACAAAAGTGCCCACCAAAACTCACTTTTTATAAATAAAAGGGACAAGTTTAGATTAGGTATAAACCAATTACTCAGTTATTTAAAGCTGTGGTAGAAATACATGCTCCTCTGTACAGTAGGTATGCATACACACATCTGTATATATACAGACAGACATATGAACACATAGCTGTCTATACACATTTACACACAAAATATCACAATATAGACAGTACCCAATATTTACACACAATATGTAGTTGAAGAAGGGATGTATATCTCTCTAATGTTTCTGCTGTGTCAGAATAACTTTAAATTCAGGACCAGAAAGGCAACACCTTGCAGAGCCAGCGTCTGCTGTCTGAGGAATTCTGTGCTGGCAGCAGCAGCATTGGGTTTACGAGCTGCTGTTTCATTTTATGACTGATTGTGTTGTAAGGCAAAGGAGAATTAATTTCGGTTTGGTCTGATGAATAAATGTGGACGTGCCTTATTTTTAATATTCCATCCTCTCTGCTGGAAGCTCATGCTATTTTTTCTACAAAACAGTCATCAGATAAGAATGTATTACTCTGCTGTAGATCACAGGATTTGTGCATTATGCTAAGAAGCACAGTTCTGCAAAATACCAATTTCAAGATGTTGTGGCCCAGGACCTTTTTCACAATACTCAACCTCTTTTCCCTTTGTTTATTACTATTTCTCGCATGTAAATACATGTAAAATGTAGTTAATACTCTGTTAGGGACACAATACAAATCCTAACATTTATTTTTGTTTTGAAAATGAACAAAACCTTACAGCTGTTATGTTCTTGCCACACGCCCCTCTACTCTTCCTTTCCCTGTTCAGCAAACTGCCATTCCTTAATTTCATGTGTCCCTGTGACAAAGTTGGAGCGCTTCAGTTTTGTTCTGGTGGATTATGACCAGTTGAGCTGCAATGGGATCGTTCTTCAATTGCAATGCTAGGTTTCTTTAATGTTTTTCCTCCCTTCTCTTGCTTATAACAAATAACAGAGTAGCGAGTGATTCCCTTGGGAGGAAATCTGCAATTCAAGGAATACAGAAGTGTAATGGATCCTAACGCGTCTTACTTCATGGTCGTTTGTATTCTTTCTCTCTGATTACTGACATGTTAGATTTATTTCTTTATTTCTTTATTTCTCTAGGCATTATTTGTTCTCAGTGTCCAAAACCACTGCAAAACTGTATCAGAACATTTTAATTTCCTTTCTGTAGCTGCTTTATATTTATTTGAGTTTCTGCATGTTTTCCTCTTTGCAAGAGGAAACAGGACAGACTCGTGTTGCTTTGTTTTCAGTTTTGGGCCTTGCTGGCAGTTGCAGATCACCTGATCTGGACTTCAGTGAGGTGTTTCTGAAGGATCAGCAATAACAAAGCTCTGTGTTGAGCAGCACTTGATGATTCTATTATAGCTCTTTTTAATATCTTAACTGTAATCCTCCTGCTCTTGGATCATGTGCTGACTCATCTCTTCCCACTTGCATTCCATGTGCAAGAAACCATTCTCTTATAGCATGGATTTAAATTTCAATAGTATCTGCTGCAAACCATACACCCTTACCTTCGCCAACGTTACTCTGTAATTATCAGCTTAGTACCATTTATCACATATTATCCTTTTCTTTGAGGAGTGCATGCAAGTGATGGAGTTGCCTAAGACGGATATCCCAGCTCCAGAACAGAGGAGGATAACCTTGAACCTCTGCTTCCCCGTGAGGCTGGAGGTGCTACTGATGGCAGAGGAAGCCACAAGACCAGTTCTGCCTGTATTTGAGATCTGAGAGGGAGCAATGGATTTGTTTAAAAAATCTTTATCCTTTTTATGAGTTGTTAGTGAGGAATGGTCACTTGTTATCTGTACAAACTCAAAGGTAGGACAGTTTTTAATTTTTTTTGTCTTAAATATTAGCATGTATCACATTCACATTTTTGCCTAGGCCTGAAATGCTGGATAGTTTGTGATCACGAAAGTAGTTGTATTTATCTACTAATTTGTATTTATCTACTAAGAATTTATCCCGTTTCATGGATTGAATCCCCTCCCTTATTCCCTCTGCTGCCAGGTAAGCTTAGAGGGAGATTTCCCCCCCCTCCCGGTGGAACTCACCTTAAAGTAAGGGAAGTGTTCGGTCATGAAATTGTAAATCTCACTGACTGGCAAACTCCCTGTCTTGCTGTTTTTGAGTGCCATGAAGATCAGGATGCTTTAGGGAGAGAAAGAAAAGTATTTTAGCCTGTTCTGCTTGACTCCTCGGGGGAAGAAAAGAAGACCCTTTTTTTGCAGTAAGCCATAGCTCTTTCACTGTCATAGCATGGATACTGGTGATGCTTAAGATTTCCACTCAGTTATTTATAAGCAATCTCTTTACACTGCGTAACCTTTAGAGGTAATTCTCGAAGCACATATAGAAGGTCTAACCTGGGTTTAAAATGAAGTAATGGAAAGTGAATCAAGACCACAGCCTTCAAATCCAGCTGGTGTGTATATATTTAAGGTTGTGTTTCAGTGCTTAAACTGGTAAAGGCCACAAAGACAATAGCAAACTGACAGTGACAGAAAATAGAATTAAAATTTAATCGTCTGATCTACTTTGTTAGACTCCTATTTGGGGGCTAAATCTGTGTGGCGACTGTCATATCTGATGTGTTTTCTAGGCTTTTCCTTGCCCTACTAACTGGAGAAAACATTCTTTTTAATACAGGCCCTGGAAAAGATGACTAAGTGTGATTAGTCTTGTGCTGATGAAATTTGCAACACCTGATATTTTGTATTAGGGAAACATCTAGCTTTTGTGGGGGTGATCAAGACTGTTCACATGCTTTGCAGCATTTCATTTCCCTCTTGCCTTGGCCCCAGAGTCTGGAACATCTTGTGATTCATACAAAGAGGACAGAGCACACCGGGAACAAGACAAATAAGAGTAACCATGTTATTGCAGGTTATGCTGGAAATAGGTAGTGGGTAAACAGTGTATTTCCTGTAACATTAGGACTTGAAAAAATGTTTTATTACCTGTAGGAGTAGATGGGTTTGGGAAATAGAGGCTGCTGGGATTCTTGACTGCTTTGAGGAGCAATTCTTTGGTAAGGGTAGTGTGAAGAAGTGATATAGGTCACAGGATAGCTGCCTCCCGAGGGATACTGATGATAAAATAAAAGAGATGTTACTTGGCTGAGCAATAAATGGTGAGGCTGCTCAGTGTCAATGGCAAGAAACAGGCTTCTCCAAGAGGCCAGGAGTTAAAGTGCTGTTACCCACTACCTTAAGCAGCTTTTTCCCCTCCATTTTCTATAGCAAAAGCCTAAGAAAAAGTAGCTGAGACACCTAAAATCAAATAACATTTCTATAAATAGCATATACATTAATACCCTCACTCCTACCCTAGGGACAAGCAGCATAATGCTACCTGAGTCTGAAATGCTAAGCTGTCTCTTCAAGTGATCTCCAACTCCATCTAACTCTCAGCCATACTAAAGAAACGGCTGATAGAAATATGCCAGTGCAAAAAAAAACAGGTGAAAGAGGGGAGATAATACGTCTAGATAGCCTCGATTGCATCAGAGTTTCTGCAAGACTGCTCTCAATTTTTGAACACAGCAGTTGGTCCCATATTTTTCTTCTCCAAATTACAGTTTCAACCTGCTGGCAAGCAACTTCGGAGAACAAAGAAACATTGCCCTGCTAAGGTAAGATAGCATCAGCTGGTTCGCTGTGAGGCAAAGGCTCCCACTGAACTCGGACCTCAGTGTGTGAGGAACTTCTGCCTCTTGCAGATGAATCTTTCCAGATGCCAGAGCTAGGGCATGGTCAAAATTAGGAGTCATGTCATATGCTATTAAAAAAACTCGACCTGCATGCCTTCCCTAAGTACTCAAAGGTTGCTGAGCCTTGTTCTAGTGTTTTACTGCTTACCTCTACAAGTCCTGTGTCATGAGGTTTTTATGGTTCCTCTGACAGACTTGTTGGGAAAATTTCCTTGGTAATTAGTTTCTACGTCTCCTTAGGTTCTTACTGTCATTCCTATTTTTGGACAGACCAATAGCTTCTGTTGCTCTTGGTCTTTGTCCCCTTAAAATGCCTGTGAGATGTTATCATGTGCTTGCAAAATGTTTGTAGTTTATTTATTTATTCTGGGTGCTTTATTGTAGTTTCCCAGTAATTTTAGCATTGCTTGAGTTTTTGCCTGTTTGCTTTTATCTTTCTGACATTAAACTGCCTGAAATGGGATGATGAAAAACATACTGAACACACTCATTTGTTTGCTGCAGTAAGCAGGGTGAAAGAAATGAGATGTACGTAATTCATCATGTCCTGCCTTGTTAAACTAAATACCGGGCAAAACTGCAATCTCCAGAGCAGCTGTGAGCTAATTTCAGTTCTGTGCTGCCTGCTTGTTGCATCGTGTGCAGATTTTTCACCAGAGCAGAAAACTGGGCAATTCACACACTAATTTTGAATTTATTCAGTGGCCCTTTGAAAGGAAGGGATACTGAGATGGAACTGGTTGAGATGTCATCACCAAAGGCAAGAACTGGGCGTTTTAAGGTTTATTTCTGTTTTATTGGGTTCATTACTGCTTTTTGAGGGAGCAGAGGCTGGGAAATGGTCTGGTATGACAGGCTTGAGCTGGTTCTACAGTCGCACAACTGGCATGAAAGGTGGTGGTGTTTATGGTGGGTGGGTTGGTGACTTCAGTAAGTGTCTGCTGTGTCTTACAGGTCAATAAGAAGTAATTTTTATGAGTCATCATTTACGTTTTGTCCAGCAAAGGGGAAGGTGAGGCCATTTTGTCATCTGGACAAAATTAGTGAAGGAGTTGCTTCCTCTCATTCCTCTAATGAAAAGTGAGGCGTAGTTTGAACATCCTTCACTTCAGGCTAAAGGGCCCGTTCTCTTGAGTGCAACTGCCCAGTGATTTAAGTTGCACTGCTCCATTCAAATTTGAAATGTAAAGTATTAATACTGGAGCTGCTGCATGCAAAAGGTGTTACCCCACCACTTCTCAGTCTTGTATCGCGTGTTCTTTCATATCCCAGTGCCTGATTATGGCACATGGACAGCAAATTCTACCTGTTAGGACTTTGGCTGCTTGTACTGCCTGTTTTTTCCCTCAGAGTAGTAAAACTTGATGTCATTCTTTACTATAATAACATAAAGAAATATTGAGACACCTATCAGAAACCTGCTGCATGTAAGAGACCTGTCACAGTGCCAGCCTGCAGGTGGATGGCAGATTTTCCTCTTAGTGCTTGTTGGATCTTGCCTAGCAACTCCCAGAAGGTGTATTTCAGCTTTAATTTTGTAGGCTTTTAGAATAGGCTTAATGCCAATGTATAGTAACAGTACTGGTCTCAAATCAGCAGTGACAGGGGAAGGATGCCTGCTTTGGAATGAATAAATAAATTTGAAAATATTCAAATGAATTAACAAGCTAACTGGAGGGTCTGTTAAAAGCACAAACCTGACATTTATGCTGTGTGTGAGATGTGTGGTGCTGTGGCACATCCACAATGTCTGTATTGCAGTCCCAGTGGGGAACCACTTTATATTTCCTTCATCTGGGACCCTTTTCTTCTAAAATAACTTTAATAAAATCAATCAATTCGTAAGTCAGGATGGTAGTGTAATATCACCTTTCTTTTTGTACTATTTTAATTTTATTACATTTTTATTATTTCTATTGAGTTTTAGGCTAACAAAAAAAGGTAAATTGATTTTAAGGGTGTTGATAAGAACTTAAAAGATAGTTAAAAAAATAACCTTTCCTTCCCCTCATTAGGAGCTAATGATGATGAATGGCACGATTACTCTTTCAATGACTCAGAGTAATAACATCATATGAATTAACGATTCCAGTGAAATATCATACAGTCACCTGTTTGTTTTCTTCGCACAGTTTGAAATCCCTGCTCTGTTAGTCACGTTTTTTTGTACTTCTTGAGCAAGTCAAATGAAATGGAACGGCTGTTTCCCCACTATCAAACATCAGTCACTGGGACCCAAAGAGTCCGTAACTTGTGTGAAAGTTATATGAATTTTCCATACATTTAATTTAATTCAGTTCTTATGGTTTGGAGGTTTGGTAGTTGTACTATTTTTGTCTATGGATTTCTGCCTGTATGTCTGAACAATCCTCATTGCCTTAATTTCACCTTAAATAAGTTTGAGGTTCGTTTTTTTTAAAGAGGATGTTCCAAGCCTATTTTTTAATCTTCTTGAATGTGTTTCTTACTGAAAAATTTTACACTGTAGATAACCAAGCGTAAAAGAGGAAATTGTCAGTGCACTGAGCAGCACCACTATTTCAATCTAAAGGAAATTATTTAGAGACATATCAGAGTGATGGAAACAACATTCTGTAATACACACCCTCCCTGTATGCCAAGATTTTAAAGCTCAGTAGCCCACGCTCACTAACATCTATAAACACGTGCTAGGATCACATGTGAGGTTAAGATATAGATGTATGATTTTACAAATAGATTGCACGTATACTGCTTAGAAAATATGGACTGGCGTGTATTCAGATGACACCTACACACACTCAGAAAAACGAGGTGTCGGTTACTCCTGTGCATTTTTAGTTTCAATAAAATAGTTACGTTACGGAAGAACAACCTTAATGTTGTGCATTCTCCTGCTTCATCAGCACTGTTGTCAATTATGCTTCAGCTGAATAATCTTTCACTGGGGGTGATGTAACAGTCAAAGGATTGCAAAAGAGACGTGTGTGCCAGGAGCACCAGAAAAGTGAGCATCATCTTGCTGTTAAAATTTCGCTTTGCAAGTGTTTGTCTATGTCTGAGCTGAATTTTAAGGTCACGTGTATTTGATTTTTTTCATTCTGAAGTTAAAGCACAGTTCATTCCCTGGGATCATGAAATGCTCACAGTTACATTAACAATTTATTCGCTTTCAAAGCCAGTTTTCTTGATCATAGTGGTGAAAATATAAATAAGTAGTACCAAGATCCAATTTTTACAAGTTTTCTTTATTTTCTTTCTTTTTCTGGCTCACCATTTAAAAACGCATTTAGGTGTGGTTCTTTTAAGATCTCATTGTCATAAATGAAATGTATGTATACAAACATGGCCCCACAAACACAAATGTAGTAGGCAGTGTCTTTTTGTGCTGTTATAATGCTAGAAATACAGGGGGTTTTGGCCTACACGTTGCACTGACCTGATGGAAAGGGTGTGAGGGGCAGTACATCTGCTGTACTTGAGGCTGGTAGCAGTACAAACCGGGCTGTCCTTCCAGTGGGGATGTCCTAAGCTTGATGTCTGAATCCTGCTAGAAAATATTTAAGGAAAGGGTTATTAGAGAAAGCATCTTAATTTCAAACAGAAGAATTCTGTTAGTTACTGTAAGTGTTACACAGAATTTGTTTTATATTCTAGTGATGCAAGAAGCAGCATTGCTTCTTGTATTTATATAATTACAACTTGAAAAAGGAAATCCCTGTCCAAATTCCATGCAAAGAGCAATTCCAAAAATGTGACTTTCTGTTTATTTTTTTTTCTTGCATACACAAACTGCAGCTTTCATTCCAGAGCGTGCACATGCGTCCCCATCTCTCTCTCTTTTTCATACTCTGATTTTATCTTGCAGGCCGTCAGTACCTCGAGCTGACGCTGGAGTTTTGTCATTAGGCAGAGGGTGAGGTCTATAATGCACAGGAAAGAGGTGGCAGAAAAGACTCAGACTAGGCTGACTACTGAATTTGATCAAGATACAGGAAATAGAGTAAGAATATAATTTCTTTCTGCAATGTGAAAATGAAGAGAGAGAAGTTCATCGAGCCTTAATTTCTCACAGGTCCAGCGGCCTGCTCTGGATTCTGCACAGGGCTTGATTTTGTGAAGGGCTCAGGCTCCTGGGTGTTAAATCTTGCTGTCTTTTAGTTTGAATGCTGAGTGCACCTCACAGTGTGTATGATAACACTGCCTGCTTTAGAAGAGCAATTCAAACGGCGTGCTAAGCAGAGAGCTGGGTAGAGCTTGCTGGTGATAAACAGTGCAGGGAATGATGTGTCTTTAGCAGTGTCGTTACCTACAGGTCTGGTGACTGACTGCAGGTTCCCCCACTTCACATTCACGGCCAGGAATTCTCTTTGAGAGCTGATGTAGGCATTATTTCAAGGAACTAATAGCACTTACCCTTCTGTTTTACAGCAAGGCCATAGGTGACCATTTTTTATAGTATAGATTAGTGTAGAGTTACATATTAGACTTGATTTGATATCCTGGCACCAGCTAAATGCCACATCCAGTATTAATAAATGTCCATGCTATTTCAGTGACCATAAGATGAAGTTTTTCAGAAATGTCAATTTGCTACAGTGTGTAAGCTATTTAAGAGCTTTGAAGTTGAGCTTTGCGTGCTGACTGAACCAGCAGAGACATTAATAAGTAGCCTGTCTTTTCCTGAGGACTCGGTAACAGGCTCCTGCAGTGCTAGCTTTACATTCTCTACATCTTGCAGCCCAAGGATTTGGGAAGAAAATGGGAATTTTTCAATCAACTGCTTATAGGTTTGCATTAAATGCATCTGACCTAGATGAAGATTGATCCAGGAAATAAGAGATTTAAATAATTTTCCTCCTTAATTTGAATGGCTTCTATCCCTGGCTATGTACCCTGACAGCATCCTTCCATTGCCTCGTGAATTGTCTTAATCCAATCAAGACTTTTTTTTAACTCCTCTTTCTTTCGGTAACCCTTGAATTTGCCCTCACAGCAATTTAGCACCCAGTGGTTAGGGCCCTCTCCTGGCAGACGTAGTAATTGGTTTTTGTCTGCACTAGTTCATGAAGATACACTTTGAATCACAGCAGAGATATCCTGTGGAGATACTGGAGGGTAATTTGCTTTACAAGGATCTCTGTGCTGCCCTAAATAGGCAGTTGCCTCTATCCAGCATGTGAATTAGCCCAGGCACCTTTACACTGCACATACCACAAACATCTCTTATATTTAATTTTAGGTAGTACTCATGTCTTAGAGTTTCTCTTCTATTTGCATCCAGAAAAATACAGGTTAGCCGAGGTGTTGTAACAAATCTACATACGTTCACTGATACACATGTCCTCATGCATGAAAAATATTGTTTTGTGAACTTTTGTCCCTTGAAAATACCAATTGATGACAACTACTGATATAGAACCTGTTGCCAGGAAGTATTTAGATATTTAGGGTTCACGTATCATGTCTAGTGGAAAATAATTTGTCTTTGTGCACCTTGCTGAGGGCTGTTTTGCAGTAAGGAAAAGCCGTAAAATAGAGAACACTGACAAACAAATATGGATGTCTGTCCTGAGCTCTAGCCTGCAACTTGACAGGAGAGTAAATGTCCATGTAGCTGCATTAAGAGAGAACAAAATAGTGCCCAAACTGTATTTTTGCCATCAGAAACAGGAAAAAATTTAGAAAACATACTGACCATGACTTGTGAACTGTGATCTTGACCTGTGGTGCTGTACTGGAGGCTGTTACACCATGGTTGTTCTGTGGAGATGTTTGGGATGTGTGTGGGAAATGACTCTGACTCGTCAGGACCTGTAGATCCTGGTAGGCCTTCAAAACCTTCGATGCTTCTGGCGGTTTTGAAGGGTGAACCTTCTGGTGGAAGGGCCTGATGTGCTTCCTGGAAGACGTCTTCGCTGATCTGCCTCTTGTAAGGGTGAAAGGGGTTTCTGCTGCTCTTGAGAAACCTGTCATAATTTCCTACAGTGCTTTCCTCGTAACTGTACCGTCTGAATTTTTCAGTGCTGAAAGATGCTTTAAATTTGTTCTTGCCACAGTGAATTCCTTGGCTTGCAGCGTATCTCCCGTGAATTTGATCCTGGGCTGGAGAAGCAGGGCTGGGGCTGTGAGAAGACTCTGAACTCTTCCTTTCCGTCCTGCCGTCTGACTCATAAGGTTGGCAGTTATAGCTGGGATTATCCTGCAATGAATTATTGGCATTTATTTAGGATTAGTATGAGGAAATGTTTTCTTATTTTTATTATTTACCAAAAAGTACATTAAAAAAAATACATTATTGATGAGAGGTATAAAATTACTACTCCTAGCCACCTTCATACTGAGAAGCCCTAAAAGATTTAAAGGCTTTTCTGGTTACTTGGTGTCCAAACCTGTTCAAAAGTAAATTAATAAAAGAAGGCTGAAGTAATCTTAATTTGTGCAGCTATCTTGGAAAAACAGGATGTCTTAGGTAACTATTGACTAGCTGGTCTTAGAACTTCAGGAAAAAGATGATGTATGATCAAGTGATGAAAGATTAAATGACAGGAATATGATAAGCGCAAGACTTGTCGTATACAAGTTTAGTCAAATAAGCTTGATCTCATCCTCTGCTGGTGTTCCAAGCTGCCAGATATGTTGCTACTTACATCACTTCCTTTCATTAACATGGCCACACTCATTCTGTGAGACAGGCAGGCTCTGGGCAGACATTTTAACCTTCCTTTTAACCTGTCTCTTCTCCTCCCTTCCCTTTTGCACTTGTGCAAAAAGAAAATAGCAGCTCCTAAAGTGCTCTTTAATCTAGAAGAGAAAGGCTTGACAAGAACGTGTCTGGATCCTGAAGCTGAACACATTCAGCTTAAGGAATTATGCGTATTTTCCCTGACATCAAGGGTGAGTAACAACTTGGATGCCTTTTGAGAAGCCGTGCTCAAGTCAAGAGCGTGTTATTGTGTTCAGTGAAAGCACAACAAAAATGTTCTGCGTTACACAAGAAGTCAGAATAGATTACCAAGTGGTCCCTTTCCTCCTTCCCCCTCTAAATCCAAGTTGGTCTCGCGGTATTTTAGGAGAACAGGTAAAGGAATATACGCCTTCATGGGAGAACCAGATTTCAAGAAGTCCCAGAGGCAACTTAGCATAAAAAGCCAGCGCTTTCTGCAGAGTGGAACACGATGCAGCTTTTTCATTCATCTGCACGTGGCTCTGTGTGTCAAAGCTATTGAAGTTTTGTTCTCTCCTCATGACGCTTTTGGCTTCTCACATGAACGTGAACTTGCTCAGTTTGTAACTTCTTAACTCTTACTTCCTCACTCTCCTCTATAGTCCTAATACACTTGGTTGTGATACCTTTTGTTAGATAAGAGTTTTGAAAAGTCTCTAAATTTAGTTATATAAAGGCATATGAATGGCACTGCTGTCGATTCTCCACCTGAAATTTTCATAGTGGAGGTACGACATTGGTTATTTTGCTCTTTGACGAAAAGTATTATTCTCAGTTGCTTGGTATGAAAGATAAACACGGTGAATAGACAGGCAACAGGAGAGAGATCTTTTTGTTCCCAAAAAGTCCCAAGGAATTCTGAAATGCTGCAAGGTATCCTCTACTGCCAGGGAGTAGACAAAAAGGTTCTGATGTCTTTCTGCTCGCCTGCTTTTTTATTTATTTATTTTATAAACAGGATGAGAATTTCTTTAAATGTAGCATTTTTACTGGATTAGTAGCTGGATGGATTGCCTGTTTTGTTTTTAATAGAATAGGATTTTTAAGCCACTGAGTTGGAAATTTACCATTAGCTCAGAAGAATAAGTAAGTTTTCTACTCTTCGAAAATAAAGCTTCCCATCTTTACTCTGTTACCAGTTAAGTAGGCTGTTTAGTACAGCAATTGCTGAATATTCTGTCTGAAACTGTGCTTCTGAAGAAAGCGAACAGAACTGGGCCATCTTACTCACAGTGTGCTGAACTGGGGATACCGAGTCCCCCTGTGTCTTCATGAGGTCTTGCTGGTCTCTTTCCAGAGGGTCCGAAGGAGAAAATGTAATATTAGATTGATCCTGGAGTAGTGAAACCATTACCGAATCCACGTGAGATAGAAAACCTGTTAGGACAACATCAAATTACAGTAAATATTTTCTAAAACTTAAACTGTAAAAGAAACCATCTTGTTACGTGCAGATAGTAATTGTTTTGTTTTCTATGCTTCATAACCTGGTGGTAATATATTGCTATGGAGTTTTGCAAATTTAGCAATATGGCTTTATTGAGAGATTGTTACTTTGACACCCCTCCGTTGCTTTCAGTGGGATTATGTAAAATAAAAGGGGTTCTGCTATCATTACTCACATTGATGGGTACTACAGACTTACACTTCTGCCTTTGCTTTTTCATTAGTACCAATCCCTTCAGCCTTTTCCTTCTGTTTTGTATGATCAGATGTATCTGAGCTATGCAAATAACTTCATCATTCCAGACCTATTTTTGTAGGTGTATTTCCTTTCCAGTTCCCAATCTTTGATCTTTGGATATAAGAGACATATCTGATGGTGTTCTTCAGGTTAAGAGGAATAATTTTAATCTTCTAGTATTTTGTTTTCTACTCTGTTTTTTTTTTCCCCCACTCCTTTACCATACAATAAAACTACAAAAGAAGAACTTGCATCCTCGCTGCATCAAGTGTGTACCTATGTAAAGACATCTTGAGTTCGTAGTTTGGAGTTCAGGCTTGCAAGTTGGAGGAAAAAACCACTTTATTTCAAGAGTTAATTTGTGAAGGTTTTTTTCCACATGTTTAAATGGCTGCTAGGTAAATAACTAAGGGGTTTATTAGGTTTGGTAACAAAGATATATCACCTAAAAATCTGGAAAACCTTTTTTGCCCTTCTAGTTCAAAGAGAAATCTGTATTTATGATGAGTAATACTGCGCTGCCCGAGGGGATAAAGCACAATGGGGCTTGGAAATCAAGTATGAGACCTATAGTAGTGTATCAGGAAGAAACGATGTTAGATAAAGTTCAGAAATGTCTTAGGTGCAGACTCTTTTTCCCAGCAGCTTAACTGGAGGCTGAGGAGGAGATATTCTTCTAACTGACACTCATCTTGAAAGAAGCAGGTGGGAAAACAACTTGGAACTATATCTGTGTGTGTATTTGTAATTATTCCACACTGACTGCCCTTTTAGTGCTGGTTTCCCACTTATCTTCGGGTTATACAAAGCTGTGTCTGGCCTCTCTTTTATACTGCAGTTTTTCAACCCAGCTGCCTAATTTGTGGTCTTAAGCATTAAGGTTTTATTAAAAATCTCTCGCACTGTTACAATTCTTGCCTAATGACTTTTGCATTGCAAGAGACATCTGACAAATGGTCACAAATAAAGAAAAAGGAGGGGCTTGATTTCAAGAACATCAGATTAATGGAAGTAAGAAAACAGAAAAGTCACAAAGCTCCGATTGCACAGTTCAAGAACGCCTGAAGCTTTTTTGTTCTTGTTATGTTTACCATTAGGATCTGTGACAGAACCAGAGAAGGAGAAGCATTCTCTAAAGGGTCAGAAAGGTCTGAGGGCAATCAGACTTCCTTTCTGAAAACAAGGTGAATATATCGTGGTTATTTGGACAGTCAATACAAAAGGTCCAGGAAAACCAAATTATTATTGTCCCTCCCCTCCAAGACTTTTGCCAGGCTCTGTTTATGAATTTCTTTTTGCTGTCTCATGGAGGCTGGTGGGAAAAGAGGAGTTTTAACTGCCATTTTAATACTGTAAAAATTCTCTCCTGTGTAGTGAAAGTGTTTTACTGAGTATTAAATGAGAAACAGCCTTGTACTAAAACAATGTCAAGCTGATAATCTGCATGCGATGGTGATTATTTAATGCCTTTGTCAAGAATCCATTTCAGAGGGATTTCCCACGTGGGGAAAAATCCCAAGTCTATGATCACAGTTATCCGTATCCTAGGAGTGGCATGCTCTGGATGTGTCTTGCTGTGAGAGAAAATCCTCTGGCCACGTATGGCTTTCTCATTTTTTCTTGGAGGCCCAACTTCTCACTCCAAAATCCATTTCCAACTTTCACTGAGACATTTGACAGCAGGCTATGAATACAGATCAGTAGAAACTGCCAAATTAACGTACTGGAAAAATCTTTGCTGTTACTGTTAGTTAACTCTCCTTTTTTGTTTTTAAAATGTGCCTTACAGACACTAACTTAGAAATAACGTGTAAAAAACCAAACCACTTTGCGTTGTTAATATAGATTTTAGCAAAGAGAAATCAGACCACTTACTGACAAATCTTCTTTAAGAGGGAAGAAATTACGGTCAGCGGAGGTTGTCAATAATCAGGATTACAATAAATCATTTACGATAAGCTGTTCCTGGGAGACAGAAAGCTTAAGGAAATGGTGGGTTGCCTGGATGTAGGACGTGTTAAAGAAAACAAAGGTGCTTTGATTTAGAAAAAGGTATCCGATGATGGCAGATGTAGCTGGAACCATTTCTCCCCAGCCCATGTCATATTTTTACTCCTGTAAATGTTGCGTGACAATCCTAGGCTCATGTGATAAGATAACTATCTTTAAAAACAGAAAATAGTGAGAAACTGTAACCTCAGCTGCGCGTTTGAATCAGCAAGGTAGCAGCAGCTGATCTATTAGCTCTGCATGACTGGAGTCCCGTGGCAGCAATCCATAGTTCAAACAATTCTCGGTTTTGTGTCTTTTCTGGCTATTGGAGGGCGTTTTGCCGGTGATACACTTCAGCAGAGCTCGGCACGGGGCCGTCTGAGCAATCCGAACTGCTCCAAACGCTGTGTGTTACTGTAAGTGCCCTCTCCATCCCTTGGGGCAGAGATCAGCTTTCATGGGAGGAAGGTGTGTTTGGATGCTCCCCAATTCCTAATTCACTTTGCATGCGTGCCTAAGGCAGCTCCCTGATCCTTGCTTGACACTGCCTTCTGTGATCTGCTCTCCTCTCTGCCCCCTCCCCAAAACACTGAATCATCTCTTTCCTCTCCACACCGCTCCAAATCTTCCAATGCAAGAAAGAACGAACTATCTGGGATTTTTCTCCTGAGTCTCTTAGGAGAAAGAAGTCAGAGAAGTCGTGAGGTTTTAGAATTCCACTTTTCAGTTTACAGTTAAAAATCTGCCCTCCCCAGTAATGTCAAGTTCCAGATATTGCAGAAGTGACAAAAATTTCGTGGCTAAAACTTCCCATGCATACAGGAATGTTTCTGTGTGTAATTATTTATATGGGACACTTTCAGAAGAAAAGGGATTTATTAATGAGAATCAGAAATTTTCAGGAGCAGGGTTTCAATCTACACAGCACGGCACTGAACTCTGGTTTTGCCACATCAGTTTCTTACTGCTTTCTTGCTTCTCTTTGTAGTATGTACTGGACCTTGATCATAGGATACTTCAATTGCTTTTACAGAGCTTTGAAGGACTGTAATCTCTTCTGAATTTACATTTACTGTTTGAGAGTCTCTGTTTAATTTAACTGTGCTATTTTTGCTTTCTTATTCAAGGGTTCTGAGCTTAATTCCCCCTTGGTTAGCTGGTGGTTGCTGCCCACGTTTAGCTATCTGTGGGAATAACTTTTGCATATTTAGTGGGAAATAAGCGTAATCCATCAGGGCCAGAGCAGCGATGATCTCAAGTGTGAGTGAAGAAAGTTTGCAACCATGAGACCCTTTCTGCGTCATATTACAGGGGATGTGTTTGCTACCCACGTACTAGGAACTGTCAGGGGAGAAAGAGGGTTTGGCTACAGCTGCATTACAGCTTGCCTCGTGTTATATCTGTGAATGGATTCCTATGGAATAGCTCTTCTGAGTGACACAAATAGACTGAATATTACAGCACTGGGAGAGTTTACATGTACGTGGTTGGTTTTCAGAACTCCATGGAAGTGTAAATCCTACTCAAGTGGATCTGGTAGTGGAGTGATTTCATATCAGTTCGTGTTTGAGAATTGTTACGTGAACTGATGCCTGGATGGAATAGGGATGAACGGAATTTGATAAATCTAAACAGAGCAAGTTATCTACTAGGGTACTTCAGAGTTTAGGATTAACTCTAATGTAATTTGTTATTTTCATTAGAGGTTTGAGAGGAAGTAAATCTATTGATGACATTCACACGGAGTAGTAAATTAATGTGCATTAAGACAAATGCTACTGAAGTGAATTGGGTGCTAGAAACGTGGCAGCATTATGAAATAGTACAAGATGTAATGACAAATGG